TCCAGTATTTGATTAAGATAACACCGCAAATCAGTATGCAAACACCTTGAACATAAAAATTCTTTATTTTGTTCAAAAACTGATGATATTATAAATTATATATACATATATATATTATAAATGCAGAATTGAGTTCAACTAAGCTAAAAATCCTTTATTAGATGGAAACTATAATACAAAATTACAACGATTTGTAAGTTTAGGAACATATTACCATTTACAAAAAATGCTTGATTAAAAAAAATACTTTATTTATTCTTGTATTTATGATGTTCTTTTCTTTTTTTGTTAAGCGGTAGTTTGCATGGGTGGTTTTAAATTTTTAACTTTTAACTTTTTAAGAGATATGGTGCTTTACATGGAGGCTGCGTAGATTCTTTAGCTTTTGAAGAAGTGATGACTTGTATTGAGCTGTGAAGAGACATGTTGAGCTATAGAGCTGTGAATAGAGCTGTTTGCTTACTGAGCTGTGAACACTGAACACAACCGTTGAGCTATTGAGCTGAGCGTAGAGAGCTGTTGAGATGATGAGCTGAGCTGTTGAGTTGAGATGTTTATGTTAAAGAGAGCGAATCCATGACAATAAATATATAGACTGCCATTAGATAGCTCTCTTTAATATCTACATCATATATCCAGGTATCTCAGTATTCCAGGGGACGGTGAAGGAGGGAGGGAGAACGGATGGGGAGATTGAGGGGCATGTGAGGGGGGTTGGGAGGGAATAAAAACTGTTAAAAATCATTTATGAAATTGCGCATTATTCCCAAATATAAAGTTAAAAGAAATAGTTTCCCTTACGTAAGCTTGGCTAAGGTTAAGCAAGGATATTCTTGGTTTGGATGGAAAGGATGGATCGTCTAGGCTAGATCAATACTAAGATCAAGAGCATCTTAAAAACTTTAAATTGTGATTTGGTAAATGCCCGCAACAAAGTAAATTCATGATTTCTTGTTTTCAAAGGAATGCTGATGTAAATTAAATTTACAAGATTACAATTTTAAAAGATATTTCTATTATTAAGTTTAAAAGATATTGCATCACCAGATCTTGAAGGAAATCTTCGTTAACTAAACTGTCCTATTTTTGCAAAAACTCATATATTGGTCACATCTTTAAAGGAATTGAGTCTTTGGAACAAAATCAAATATTTAAACCTAAATATCTTTGCAGCCCGATGTTGTAAACCTTTTGATATTTCAAACTAAGATTATTTGATCTAACAGAATTCATAGTTTGAAATATCTAAGGTCTGCAACATTTGGTTCCAAAGATATAATGATTAGAAAATCAGAGTTTGTGGCAAAGACCTTTATAAGTCTAACATTTTCAAATCTAAAGAGAAAGGTAAAATTCTAAATATACAAGATTAAAAGAAATGATATTCTTAAAACAAGGGTAAGAAAAGTTTCATTTCCTAAATTTACAGTTTTAAAAAGAATGCTAAACTCCTAAGTTAACAGGTTATTATAGTGAATCATACCTGCTTTAAAAAGAATGATAAACCCCAGAGCTTTTAGGTCTAAAGGGTATGATGAACTACTAAAAACTCATAATTTTAGCTTAAAGGTTTAAAGGGAGAAACCGGCTAGACATGGCAGTTGAGCTGAAAGAGCAGTATTGCATAGAGAAAAACTTTAGGATTCATTTGAAACCGATGAGACATTTTTTGGTGTACAAATTTTAAATAATAGCGTTAAGGCGTTTGTAACATTTCACCAGTTGTTTCAGTCAGCAGAAGAAACGTTTTTACAATTATTAAATAACCCGGACCCGTTTTTAGGAACATATTTAAAAAAAGAAATTATAGCTTAACGCCATAGTAGATCTGTAGAATCGATTTATTATTATAAATCAAATTTTATTCTCAGATTTTTTCAAACTGTCACCCTCACAGTTAAAATAAAGAAAACCTCCAACAAGCGACCCCAGCTGAAAGAATTTACATAAACCTGTGATATTTTTAAATTAACTTTGATAACTTATTTTTAATGGTTTCTCAACCTGTTTGTATGCATGCAACTAGTTTGTAGAATAGTATGTGTTACTTGTTTAGTCCATGTTGTCTTCTGCTGACTGATACAACAGGTGAAATATCAAAAACGACTTTACGCTTTTAATTAAAAGTATCAAATTAATCCTAAATTGTTCTCTATAATACTACACTTTTAGCTCAACTATCATGTATAGTCGGTCTCTCCCTTTAAAGGGAATGATAAACTCCTAAGTTTACAGATTTAGATGAAATGATAAGCTCTTAAGTTTACAGGTTTAGATGGAATGATAAATTCCTAATTTTACAGATTTAGATGGAATAATAAGCACATAATTTTACAGGGTTAGATGGAATAATAAACTCATAATTTTACAGGTTTTGATGGAATGATAAACTCAAAATTTTACAGGTTTAAATGGAATGATAAACTCATAATTTTACAGGTTTAAATGGAATGATAAACTCATAATTTTATAGGTTTAGATGGAATGATAAACTCATAATTTTACAGGTTTATATTAAATGATAAACTCATAATTTTACAGGTTTAGATGGAATGATAAAGTCATAATTTTACAGGTTTAGATGAAATGATTAACTTCTAATTTTTAAGGTTTAGATGGAATGATAAACTCATAATTCTACGGGTTTAGATGGAATGATAAACTTCTAATTTTACATGTTTAGATGGATTGATAAACTTTTAAGTTTACAGGTTTAGATGGAATGATAAAATTCTAATTTTACAGGTTTAGATGGAATGATAAACTTCTAAGTTTACAGGTTTAGATTGAATGATAAACTCATAAGTTCACAGGTTTGGATGGAATGATAAACTCATGATTTTACAGGTTAACATGGAATGATAAACTTCTAATTTTACAGGTTTAGATGGAATGATAAACTCATAATTTTACAGGTTTAGATTGAATGATAAACTCCTAAGTTTACAGGCTTATATGGAATGATAAACTTCTAATTTTACAGGTTTAGATGGAACAATAAACTCATTATTTTACAGGTTTAGATGGAATGATAAACTCATAATTTTACAGCTTTAGATAGAATGATAAACTCATGATTTTACAGGTTTAGATGAGATGATAAACTCATAATTTTACAGGTTTAAGTGGAATGATAAACTCATGATTTTACAGGTTTAAATGGAATGATAAACTATAATTTTACAGGTTTAGATGGAATGATAATCTTCTAAGTTAAAAGGTCTGAAAGCGTAATTTCATCTGAACTTCAAAAATAAACATGATCAAGTATGAATACGTTAACATTACTATAATTTTGAAAACTTATAATTTTCAATGCGGGTTCTTTAAAGGGAAAGAAAAATTCCTAAGCTTACATGCTTAGAGGGGATGATAAACTCTTAAGTTTAGAAGTCTTAAAGGAATGGTATAGCCCCTAAGATAAGATAAACTTCTAAGTTTACAGGTTTAAAGATAATAATAAACTTCTAAGTTTGCAACTCTTAAAGAGAATAATAAACTTCTAAGTTTAGAGGTTTAAAGTTAATGAAAAAAACACTAATTTTAGTGGCTTAAAGAGAATGATAAACTCCTAAATTACAGGTTTAAAGAGAATGATCAACTCCTAAGCTTACAGGTCTTAAAGAGAATAATAAACTTCTCAGTTTACAGGTCTTAAAGAGAATAATAAACTTCTCAGTTTACAGGTCTTAAAGAGAATAATAAACTTCTAAATTTACAGGTCTTAAAGAATATGATAAACCTCTAAGTTTACAGGTTTGAAAATAATGATAAATTCCTAAGTTTACAGGTCTTAAAGAGGTTGATAAACCCCTAAGTTTACAGGTCTTAAAGAGTATGATAAACCCCTAAGTTTACAGGTTTAAAAATAATGATAAATTCCTAAGTTTACAGGTCTTAAAGAGAATGATAAACTTCTAAGTTTACAGGATCAGAGTGAATGATAAACTTCTAAGTTTACAGGTTTAAACTCTAAACTATGTAAAATGGAAAAGTTAGAGTAGATCTGAGTTCCTGTTCCTGTGCTATCCAAAAATGATCTGAGAAGTATGAAAGAATTTGAAAACTAGTTGTAAAATCGACAAATTGTTGAACAATAAACAATGTATTCGTGAGCTTTCATAATTTTTACTTGACAATAGATTGAATTAAACACACCTAGGCATAGATTTTAACTTCCCCGCAGCCCCTTCCCCTTGCATGAGGTACCCCGCCCCCTCTCGTATACGAAACATACCCACCCCCACCAACCCACGGGCTGCCTCGCCCCTATAAAACCGTCCTAACCCACTTCCTTATTTAAATTTTAATATCCGTTCCTTGACTTCAAAGGCCAGGGGTACTTTATTTTAAATAAAATAGAAACAAAATTAAATCATTAAAGGTATTAAAGGTATTCTGTAATATCTCTAAAATGATTAATGCTAACATCATAAAGTGAAAAAAAGAAACCATGGATAATTTGTTTGCTGGTTTCCCCCAACCCCTTCCCTCTTCTACAAACCACCTACAATTACTTTACCTTCCCTTCTCCTTCCCTTCTCCTTCCCTTCTCCTTTACACAATGTTGGATAAATCACGTTATCATAGAGTAATTTGACGTTTTCTACAGATTCAATAACAGTTCATTCTTAATTTTAGAACAAATATTAGTTTAAAACTTAATTCAGAAGTAAAGTGCTGCTTAGTTAAAACTTAACTGAACTTCAGTTAAATGATCACTGTTTATCAGATATATTAAGAGCTCCCCTCCCCTAATTCAATTTGTAGGTTTTGTCAACCATTAGTAGTTTTACATGAAAAAGAGTGCTTGATAGTAGCTTAGCATGAATCAGGAACGTTCTCCCGCTTGATAAAATATTCAAAGGTCCTGAACCTAAGATTCCTTGTTATTCCTGAAATGCTCTTGGTATAGGTGGATATTGTTTGTTTTAAAAAAATCTCTCTTTGGGCCTTAAAGTTAATAAGGTACATTGATTTAAGTGCAATTAACAACAATACTTAGATTCAAGTTTATTTAAATTTTACAAACTTTAACTGGTTCATCAATTTAGGAGTTTAGACTTCAGGTAACTGCATATCATTAACTATTGGAATCTCATCATGTAGTTTTGAATGAAGAAATTTGGTTATAACAAAGTTCTTACAAGCTTTATCAAAGGTTTGATGGAAGCACTGAAAGCTGGCAATCTTCACCACCATCTCCTCTAAAGCTGCCGATTCCTCTTCAGTATATGTACACTCTGCACTATCTTCTAGTTCCTCTACAGTTTCCTTTACACACTCTCCCAGAACTTCTTCAGTCAGCTGAGTACTGATTTCTGGAATTAGAGAAGCAATATCCTCAGCAATTGTGGCATTAACCTCCTCTCCATCCTCATCAATCCATCCTAAGCTTTTAAAGAAGCACTCAGAAAAACCAGCTTTCTTATTTAATATTATAGTTAGCTCATCAAAAGAAGGACATTTAGTTCCTTTTGCTTTGTCTGTATGTCCTGATGAATAACTTTTTTCATGGAAACAGTGTTGGACATCTTTAGTTTTCTTCTCAAGGTTTGAATCACTGATGCATATAGCATCAAGAGCCATCTTATCCAAGCACAGTCCCTTCTAAAAAAAGAACATTAATGTTGGGAAATTAAACTTGATGTCGATTTTATGAAGGAAATTCAAATGCAAGTGATTCTCTTCTGATTCAAACCATATTAACATTATTAGGGGAGTTTTTAGAGGGGGAGAATAAGTTAAAGAATTTAGTATACCTGTTCCTCAGAGTCATGAGCCAGGGCTACATGAGCTGCGTAGACAAACAGAAACGAACACAAGATTTGTTTCATGCTGAACTTGTAAAAAACAATGATAAACAAACCTCTGTCATACCGCATTTTATACCCTTAATTGCTGGGAACAAGTGTAGATCAAAAAATTAATTACAGAAATAAAATGTTATCTAAAATCTATATCTTTACATCTGTACATTTAGCAACAAAAAACTTACTTTTATCTAAGAAACTACTAAAGTGGAAAGTTGTTCTAAAATCTAAACCCAATTTCCACTTATCACAAAGCTGAATAAATTAGAAACTATTTTAAACGCGTATACAAAACAATATTTAAATGAACTTGAAAAAATGTATTGGGGTTAGGAAGGACGTACAATGCATCGTACATTCTCCTTCTCTTCTCCTTCCTTTCTCCTTCTCTTCTCCTTCCTTTCTCCTTCCCTTCTCCTTCCCTTCTCCTTCCCTTCTCCTTCCCTTCTCCTTCCCTTCTCCTTCCCTTCTCCTTCCCTTCTCCTTCCCTTCTCCTTCCCTTCTCCTTTCCCTCCCTTCTACTTTCTCTTCTCCTTCCCTTCTCTTTCCCTTCTCCTTCCTCTTTCCGTCCTTCCTGGAGGGATCCAGACCAAATTATAAAGCATTTTGTACATGAAATATATATAAAAAAGAAAAACGACAATTTGATTTTATTCCGCTAGATGAATACTGCTTTATAAATACTGCTTGATGAATACTGCTTGATGAATACTGCTTGATGAATACAGCTTGATGAATACAGCTTGATGAATACTGCTTGATAAATACTGCTTGAATTTTGGTTTTCAATGTTTTTTAGTAATTTCTAAGTTTCTTGTGGTTTTACTTTTTAAATCCTTCATTTAACCAAGCAAGCGTCTTATTTTCATCTTTGATTTGAAGTTTAGCCGAGGCTCATGAGAAATATTTATATTCTCTTGATATTAATGGAGTTAGCTTTTTCCAATGTTTAAATGTATATTTTTTTATGGGAGGTAATATTTGATAAAAATGCATTAAATGCATTATTTAACTTTTTATTTTGAAAAATTCAGTTTTTTTCCCATAGATAAAGATAGATTGCGCATATTGCAACTTACCAGATATAATATATATTTCAAACTTTATCCTATGAATTAGCCGGGACTTTCTTGCCTAGCTATAGCCTGGGAAATCGCAGCTAAAAAAGTGTTATTATTATTATAGTTTTTACCAAACGTTGGTGCAGGCTCACTCCTGTATGCCGAGTCCATTAGCGTCTGATCCAATCAGGGTTCTGTCATGTGTTTGTTGTCTATTCTGAACCAATAGAAATAGTATGGCGGTAACATCTATCTTTTTATCTTTCTCATTATCCAATCAGAGTTATTAATCCTTGAATCGGCGCTATAACAGTAAATGGAAATATTTACTTCTACTAAAACTATAGAGGGCTGTTCACTCGCGTTTTCTGGAGTAGTATTTAATTAAAGTTAATAAGTTTACAGGAAAAGAATTGCGGTAAAACCAAGGTGATCATTTGAATTAAAATTTTGAAAAAATTAGTATGTTAGAAAATGAATTTAAGAAATGTAACAAACAACCAATTTTATTGAACTGTTTTATATAAAACCATGCCTGTGATGAAAATAATCATCTTTTTCAAAATATCAGGAGATGAAATGCCAGACGTCCAAATTTACAATCGATAATTGTTTAAAATGTCGTCGTCTTATTCCTAAGATTCTCCTAGCTTGGTGTTTGTAGAGTAGAGCGCTATGTGCTGATTCAAAATACCAACGAGGTTTTAGTGTATAGAGTGATGATGTACGCTAATCCTTTACTAATTGTATAGGACATGAGCTATACCTAATAAAGCGTACTGCATATTTGTTTATTATAAGGAGTTTCTGGCGTAACTAATAATATATGATTATTAGTAAACAGTTGTAAGTGTACAGAGCTGGGAACTTTAGAATGGAGGATATCAGGATTAATCCTTAATCCTCTCTTTTTGTTAATCTCGAGACTATGTTAGTCTTGAGATTAAATATTTAGATCAACAAATTGGATTCTTTTTCTTGACTGGAAGGGCCTTCACTTATTTCTCACCCATTTATTTATTAATACATTAATTAAAATTGGTTACAAAAGAATCTTAAATGTATTATTAAACTATTTTTCTTCACCAATTAATTTACAAAATGGCCGACAACAAATTCTTTATTTGTTAGAAATTGCAGATTTGTCTCATGGGAAAGAATTTATTTTCAAGGCTGTAATTGGTCAATACAATTTACGAACTATATTCCTGCACTGTCACTGGAGAAAGCAATGTACGGATATCCAAAGAGAGAGAAAAAGAGTGAATTAAAGGGAGTGTTCGCGAAAAATGAAAGGGGGTATAAGCTTAGTGCGATAAAAAAGCGCTTTTGATCGCTAGTAATCTTACTTCTATCTGTTGCGTCTATAAGGAGAAAATTGTTAAAGACGTCTAACACCGAACAACTTAGCGGCCATACAAATAGAGAAAATTGCAACATACAACTTAGACCGTAAAAAAATCAATTTAATTTCAAACAAATCATTCAGATATTACAACCTATAATCATCGATTATCTTTTGCCACATTTGTATATAGTTTATATTTTATAATATTTTCTAATTTATTTGTTTGAATTTGATTATTTCTCTTGTCGCTTGCGCAACTATCTAAGAATGCCGCACACCACTCACAATTTTCGAAATCCGTTGAAAACGTTTTCTAAAAAAATAAAATATTATAAAATATAAACTATATACAAATGTGGCGAAAGATAATCGATGACTATAGGTTGTAATATCTAAATGATTTGTTTCAAGTTAAATTGATTTTTTACGGTCTAAGTCATATGTTGCAATTTTCTCAATTTGTATGGCCGCTAAGTGATTCGATGTGAGACGTCTTTAACAATTTTCTCTTTTTAGACGCAACAGATAGAAGTTAGATTAGTAGTGATCAAAAGCGCTTTTTTAACGCATTAAGCCTATACCCCTTTCATTTTTCACGAACACTCCCTTTAAGGATTAAAATTAAAAGTTTCCACAGTGGATATTCGGATTAAGTAGTTGGGATTAAAGGTTATCCATTCTAAAGTTCCCAGCTCAGTACAGCTAATATGAACACTCAGGTAGGATACTATCACCCCCCTGGCGGCATGCAAGGTATAAACTTAGCTGTGTAGTCCCACAATATTATTATTATCGGTAGAATTCTTAGAAATCGCTGATAAACCTGTTTAAGGAAATTACTGAAAACTATAATTTAAAGATCATAAAGTGATTTCTGATTGATTTAAATTAAATGACAAAAATGTGATCAATTTGTGAGAATGTGTTTTCTTAAAAATTCTAACAATTAAATTTCTTTATTTATTCCGATTTTCCACACCCCTCCCCTAAACAAATTGTGGTTTTAAAAGATAAGATATTGATATTTACCACATATTCCGGTCTACATGTAGTGTGTGTAACCAACGAAAAACAATATTTTTTTTCTTTCAAAAATTGATATTTAATGAGATATTTTTATACATTTGAATTCTTTGAAAATTTGTAATCATTATTATTGCTTTTTTTTGTGTTGTAAGTAATATTTCCTTTTTCAACATTTACATTTTTTTGATAAAATTATACATTAAGGAATTGAGTCTTTGCCACAATCTCTGATTTTCTAATGCCTATATCTTCATAACCCAATTTTGTAAACCTTAGGATATTTTAAACTATTAATTTTGTTAGATCAAATAATCGAGGTTTGAAATACCAAAGTTTTGCAGCATCAGGCTATAAAAATATAGGATTTATAAAATTTGAGTTTGTGGCAAAGACTCAATTCTTTTTAGTCAAAAGAAATAAAGAGTTATTGAAAAGGATTCATCTTTTACAATAATTCGCAAGAAACTAAGAAACTAATAACTATATCTTTCTTTCGATGTCATAAAAATGTTAATAATGCTAAAAATATAATAAAAATCGATTCAATAAGTGTTCAGCGGAGCCTGAAAAAACCTTTTTAGATTGGCATCTTTAAACGTTGTCCTTTCTTTTACCTTTCATTTATTCCTTTCCTTTCCTTGGGAGTCAAGCAATGTTGTATCCCACATCATGTAAAAATATGCATATTAGAAGTTAGAACTATATTCATTTTAATGAATTTGAGCCTAAATCCGGTTTCAATTGAGTGCCGGCTTAAATCTTGATATATTGAATACAATTGTAAGCGAAACCAACCATATTTGAGCCGCGGCTTAAATTTTAGAAGCCGCTCAAATTCTTTAAATTCGGTCTCAGGATTTTTTGTTTGGTATTCGTTTTAAGAAGTATATTTTGCAAAATTCTCATAATTTTTGCGCAAGAGCTTGCAACCTCTGGATCACTATATAGACTATAATTCCATATAAAGGAACCGTTCACTTATTTGGTTAATTTCATGATAAACTAATTAGCCTATTAGCTATTCATTGGTATTAGTTTTACTTTTCAAAGATATCTGTGACCGGAGAAAAAGACGATTTATCGTATATTATTCAAGCTCAAATGTATGATAACTTTGCATAGGCACTTTTAAATGTTTTTTTTTTCAGTAACAACAGCCCAGTAAAATCTAAAATTATCATATTTCAATGACATCATGTGTCAGCTATTATATAATAAATATAAAAACTTTTGATTTTAGAATTAGCAAGAAATTAACGTTTTTTGTGTTCAAACACGATTTAAAAAATCAACATGTTTTTATAAAAAGACGACTTTCTCTCTCCGACAAACCTGTTCCTAGATTCCAACTCTTCAATAAATCACGGGGATTTCTGGGGAAGTAGAGAAAACGTATCAAACCGTTCAATGTTTAAAAGAAGTTATATTTTGAAAAAAAAAACATTTTAAAATAATTTTGAAAAAATAAAGATATCAACAGTTAACTATCAGAAACTATAAATTTTATTTAATATTTGAAAATTTTTAAAAATTCATGACTATGACAAAAAGCATCTAATAGTGTCTATACAAAGGTATCATACCTTTGCGCTGAAATTCTGAATGATAAATCGGCTTTTTCTCAGGCCACAGTCGTCTTTGAATACCATAATTATAGGCTATTTAGTTTACGCTCAAATTACCCAAAGAAGTGAACGGTCGATTTAATTGATTGACAGCACGATTATTTTTAACAGTGTTTTGTTACGATTTTTGTTTCTATCCAATGTTTATGTAAAAAGAAATCTGCAAAGACCCTGAAAAGCTGTGGAATGTATTGATGTATACAACGATGACTAGAAAAGTTGTTCTTACCTTTGACTATCCTAGATTCAATAGCGCTTTAAAGGGAGTGTTTGCGAAAAATGTAAGTTAATATATCGAATTGTTATGAGATATCAATGGCTACAAATTATACTTACAACTGTTGCGTCTGTAAGGAGAAAATGGTTAAACACGACTTTTACCAAAGAGCGACACGGACCCATATACGTATCCACGGAGTTGCATTAGTTTACCCAAACCGTAAAATAATTAAATTAAATTCAAAACTAATCATTTAGATATTACAAGGTTGAATTAAATTCGTTTCATTCCTACGTAGTTTAAATATCATGATCTTTTAAATTTTCTCCAGATCAAATGTATTTTGGATAACGATTATTTGGCTGCTGGGTGCCACTACTCTCGAATTTCAGGTATTCTGCTTGGAAGAAACGTGTAGCGGCCAAAAAATCGAACCCAAAAGTGCACATATTTAAATATTTTTTTTTTGCGAACACTCCCTTTAAGGTTTAAAAATGTCTGAAAAGATGGGATGGGACCGACCAGTATTAACGAAGCTTGAAACTGCAGACGAATTGTTTTCCCTCTTCTCCGACGAAGAAAAACTGAAAAGTAGGATTTTGGTAGATTTGTAATTAAATCTAAAAATAAATTCACTTTAATTTATCGCTTTTTGAGAACTAAAGTCTGAAAGATTAAAGGGTATAGTGTAGCACAGCATATAAAGAATGTCACTTGAAATTGTGTTTTCAGTTTCTTTTAATAAATTAAATCTTTAAACTTACCGCTAAGTATTATCCCTAGATTATTGTATTATAGTTTAAAATTAAATTGAAAAAGGTTTTTAACATCAGAAATATTGTCTAAGCCAAACCTGAAAAAAACTTACTAATTTTGTAAATATGTAATTTATTTATTTCCCTCAGATTTCCTTTACATGGATCCCCAGTCAGCTGTTAAAAGAGAGAATCAGATGAAAGATGATGAATTTTCTTTAGATATTCCTTACGAGGAAATAAAGGTAAGTGAGGGGGAGGGGTAGCTGTAATCTAGAAAGGGAATGGGGTTGTGTCCTAGATACATTAATTTATCTAGGGGATGTATTGTTGAAATTTAAAGGGAGTGTTCGCGTAATATGACTGGGGGTATAAGCTAACGCCGAAAAAATTTCGTTGGTGATCGCTATTCTAATTTTACTTCGAAGGAGAAAATTGATAAAAACGATTGATATAAAATCGGAAAGTTTCAATATTCGACTTTAGATCGTAAAAAAATCAATCTAATTCCAAACAAATCATTCAGATATTACAACCTATAATCATCGATTTTTATTTGACACATTCATATATAGTTGATATTTCATAATATTTTTATTTGTTTTATATACGATGCAATTTAAACGAAGATTAGTTGGCCGCCAGGTGTCTAAATATAATGTGTAATGTTAGAAAGTCGTTGAGAATGAGAGGGATAGATTTCTGCAGTGTTTAAAGGAACACGACAAGTCACAAGTGCAATGGGAACATGTTGGATCTACTTCTATTAAGGTAAATGGGAACATGTTGGATCTACTTCTATTAAGGTAAATGGGAACATGTTGGATCTACTTCTATTAAGATAAATGGGAACATGTTGGATATACTTTTATTAAGGTAAATGGGAACATGTTGGATCTACTTCTATTAAGGTAAATGGGAACATGTTGGATATACTTTTATTAAGGTAAATGGGAACATATTGGATCTATTTCTATTAAGGTAAATGGGAACATGTTGGATATACTTTTATTAAGGTAAATGGGAACATATTGGATCTATTTCTATTAAGGTAAATGGGAACATGTTGGATCTATTTCTATTAAGGTAAATGGGAACATGCTTGATCTACTCCTATAAAGGTAAATGGGAACATGATTGATCTACTCCTATAAGGTAAATAGGAACAGATTGGATCTACTTCTATTAAGGTAAATGGGAACATGTTGGATCTACATCTAACTAGGGGAATGGGAACATTCTAAAACTACTCTTATGTTCAGGGAATGCCAGGAACACTGGTTCCAGATGCTCTCTTGATAGTTCCTGAGTTCCCACCGAGCAGGAATATTATTCAGGCGTTCCTAGACTTAGGATTCTATTTCGGGTAATTTTTTAGAAAACAAGAAATACAATGTATAGATTTTATTCTTTAGCCTACTAAACATCGTTTAAATGTACTAAAAAGGGTTTCTAGTAGATTTAATCAATAGCAACGCATGTTTGAGCTACTAGACATGATTCAACCACTTCTCTTCATCTTGATTTGGCGCACAAGAGAAGTGGTTGAACTACGTCTGCGCCGTTCAGCCACTTCTCGTCCAAGATGGTTCAGTTCAGTTAACGAGTTAAAAATGAACCCTTTTTTTCCGTTTGAACTTTAATAATTCCAATGCCTTCTCATGTAAGGGTTTAGCTTTCAGTTTCAAAAAAATTATTATTTTTTTTAGGCGAGCATCTCTCCTTGACTCTAAAGATTTGTGGTTCTTCAGATATCTAAGAGAAGGGTTTCTCAAGGTTAGCAGTATGTCATCAATCCATGGTATATTCCATATTTAAACAATCATATATTAGGTATCCATGGATCAAGTAATCTGGATGTGCAGTACACATACCATTTTACAGTCTTGCAAATATCTACAAGAAGAGACATTTATAGAATATTATTTGCTTTCTATATTAATTTATTTTTTTACTATTTACTGCTGTAATCAGGGGCGAAGTCTGGAATTTTCCCAGGGGGAGCTTAAATTTTTTTTTCAGGGGTGGGGGGGGGGTCAGTATAGTTACATAACACTCACCTCTGACCCTTAAGTAAAAGTAAATTCAACCTACAGTCTGCAGTCTGACCGCGTCAACCTTGTTGCACCAGCTAGTCCTATTGAGTGTCTGCTTTATTTAACCAATGTCCGGACGATACAGTACAAACCGGGACCGGAAAGGTTGACCCGGCTCGGAAATTCAAATGCCCGTGATAATCATATGTAATTATTAACATTATTATTATTATCAGTATCATATTTTGATCATGCTCTATTTTGTACCAAATTCTCGTTTCGAGAAGTTTACAATTTCTGCATTTTATTTTCTATTCTCAATTTAATTATGGAATATAAGGTGTCCAGAGCCTATTCTAGTATAAATGTACCTCTCATTTGATATCTCATACTTGATATCTCATACCTCCCACACCCTCTCCCCAATTTTACAAATTTTAAAGTTCCTAAAGAAAAAACTACGATTTTGTCATCTGGCCAATTATTCTTTGCATTTGCCCCAATAAGCTTAGACTCTATTTATTTTGTTACATTTATGCTAATTTTCCTATATTTAAATCCGCCAATTTGCGTCTAGCATATTCAGATCTTTATATTATTTCGAAATTTTTTCTTTTTTTTGATTCAATTATTTCGTTTATTTTCATACTTGTGTTCTAGTTTAATAAAATTTATGAGAAGAATTATTATTATTAGTATAATTTTTCCTTTTTTAAAAATTTTTTTAAAATTTATTTTTCAAGAAATTTTAGTTTTTATTTAGCCTAGAAAACAATATAAAATTAAAGAAAATTCATGTGCCCAACTATAATTTTATAAATTATTCATCAGTGGCATCAGTGTAGAATCACAGAACAGGTAGATATAGAAGGATAATTGACGCGGACCTATCTTGCTTGAAAAAAAGATTTACTAAACAGTCAGCTCCATGAAGCTGTATATTTCAAGTTAATAAATCAATCGAGATGTAGAATTTGTAGATGTTGCAAGGGCGTAAACAGAAATAAATCTGTAAAAAAATAATTTTTGTGTGATCGATCTTAGGCCTAAAAGAAGTTTTTGGACCCTAATGTGAAAAGACTATATTTGATTTTGATCCTTTGACCAATCTAAATCTAATTTTTAAAAACTTAAATTTTTGTTGTATATCTACTTTTTGTAACAAAAGTTTAACTTTTATTTAGATATATCAACATGTTAAATATATCAACATATTATATATACCAACATATTAGATATATCAAAATATTAGATATATTAAATATCATATATATATCAATATATTAGATATATCAACATATTAGATCTATCATTATTTTAGATCTATCAACATATTAGATCTATCAACATATAGTATCTATCAACATATGAAATATATCTACAAATTAGATATATCAATATATTAGATATATCAACATATCAACATATCAGATATATCAACATATTAGATATATCAACATACTAGTTATATCAACGTATTAGATCTATCAACATATTAGATATATCAGCATATTAGATATATCAACATATTAGATATATCAAGATATTAGATTATCAACATAAAAGATATATCAACATATTAGACAGATATATCAACATATTAGATATATAAACATATTAATTAGATATATCAAAATATTAGATATATTAAAGTATTAGATTATCAACATATTAGATATACCAACATATTAGATATATCAAAGTATTAGATTATCACCATATATCATATATACCAACATATTAGATATATCAACATATTAGATTATCAAAATATTAGATTTATCAACATATTAGATATATCAACATATTTGATATAATCAACTTATTAGATTATCAACAAATTAGATATATTAATATACTTTTTTACTGTGCAGAGTACTTGCAGGGATCTGTGCAGAACTGAGAAATGGGCTTTTGAAGATTATGCTGGAGCTAAAATAGCTGCTTACAAGAATGCTTCAACACTTCTAGATTATAAGAAGGGGAAAGGAGAGAACAGCAAGCTTCTCCAGATGCTCAGAGAGAAATATAATGATAATTAAACTGTTTAAAAGGAGTGACCGGCTAGATAATATATTTGAACAGAGAGTGCCATATAATGTAGAATAATTTCTGGATTTATTTGATACCATTAGACGTTTTCCAAGGTGTATAATTTCCAAGTAAGACCGTAAATTTGTTTGTAAAATTTCACCAGAAGGAACAGTCCGCAGAAGGAATGTTTTTTTTTACAATTATTTATTAACCTGGACAAAAGTGTAATTTGTGGTTTAGGAATATAAATATGTGAAGAAATCAATTATTTCTTTATCATCATCCATCATATTCAATTTTTCATTCTTCAAAAATGTGGTAGCAGTTTCTTTAAAGTCTTCAAATATGTCGTCTTTTCAAACAAAAAGATTCAGGAAACCTATGGAAAACGTTTGTGATCAATCAAACATATTCCAGAAACAGATAACTGAATTACTTATATATAATACTAATAATACTAATAATAATATACTTTATTTCTCAACCTGTTCCTAAACAACGAATTACCTAATGCTAGCCTTTCCCTATTAAAAACATAGTATTTTGTTTCTAATATCCAACTAACCTCCCTTATGCAAATAAAAAATTTAAACTTTATTGAATTAATATTTTTAATTTTCACAATGCTTTTTATATGACTTAAAGAGACTGTTGAAGTAATTTTAAGTGACCACACCCATCCGAAGAGACAGCTAGCGGTTTATCAGATATAGTTATGACTTGAATTGAGGATCACTCAAAATTTAAAAATAGCAGAGAAAAGCTTTCCTTCAGTAATTTAGTAATCTTAGTAAAGTTAAGGATTCAGAATAACCAAACAAATTTGGAGCTTTAAAGGGACTGTTAGCGTAATTTCTAGTGGCCTCCCACTTAAAGAGGGACTTCCCGATTAACAACGGTACCTTTAAACCTTTGGCTGATCATCCAAGGTAGATAACTTAGTATCTTTAAAGATGTGTAAAAAGGGGTAAAATAGGAGTGCACGCTGGCGAACTGTGTTAACTCAACGCGGATTACGTCATATTTTTTTCCGGAAAACCCAGAGTATTTTATGTCCATTGTCCAATGCGTTTTTTAACACTAACAAGCATTTCTGTGGAAAAATAAGAAAAAGTCTGTCGTCCTTGATCAGTCAAACGTATAAAGAGTAACTACCGTTGTGAATTAGAAGTAACCCTCTTTAAAAGGAAGATCGCTTTAAACTATGCCTACAGTCTCTTAAAGAGGTCAATCAACGATTTATAGTATGGTATCCAAAATACGATCTGGCTTTTTCATTTGTTTGAATATGTTAAGTACTGCATAGTTCATTCTCAAATGATATGTTGAAGTTACTGCAGTTCAAAATTGTGAATCATCTTTTGTAATTTTTGTTAATCTATTAAAATTAAGTACCTAGGGTGCCCCACGAAACTTGACAGAATTGAATGTCGTCTTCGAGATCTGAGTTTATTTGTGACATTCAGTCGTCAACCTACTTTCACATGTATGATTCTGGAAACAATAACCACAAAATTCCCCTAGTCCTGGCATTTCCAAAATGTGCTCTGCTGTCAATTTTACTGGAGATATTGTTAATTTCGTTTAAATTTTATTTTATTAAATAAAATCAAAAATCTCGAAATCTGAATCAAATTCTTCATATCTCCGAAATTGAAAAAAAGGCAGACCAGATTTTGGAAAAGCCAAGACTAGGGGTATTTTGTGATTATTAACTTTAAAATTTTACTTCTAAAATTAAGTTTACGAATAAATTCAGCAATTTTTTCAAAGATCAAAGATAACATTAAATTCGTCTTGCTACTGTCATGTTTTTGGGACACCCAGTATATAAATGATAACTAAATTAATGACTATTCTGCCATTCTCAGATTTATATCTGTATATGATATATGTTTGAAAAGTCTAAAGATCTGATTTTGTAGAAATTATAATTAATAAGCTTTGTAGAAAAGTTATTTTTGTTTTAAAATATTAATTTTGTTTTCTTTTTATGATTATGACTACTTTTTGTAAATAAATCTATTTTAAAAACAATTCTTTCTTTTAAACCAATATTAACAATGTTGACGTCAACACTAATTGTTTTTTAGGAACTTACAATAAGTATTAAAATGATGAGATTAGAAGAGCGTTTTTGTTTTTGCTAATGGTACGTGAAATTAGGAAAAACTGAGTTGAAAATTAATGAATTCTATCCATTTGAATCGACTTAGTTATAACCAATGCTGAACTAGCAAAAATCAAAAATCTTCACCATCTCCCTTTCCCATACTCCCTTCCCACCCTTTCCCATCCTCCCTGCCCAC